TGTGGCCAGCTCTTCCACCAGCTCCCTCAGTACACTCGGGGGGATCCCATCCAGCCCCATAGACTTGTGGATGTCCAGGTGGCAAAGCAGGTCGTTAACTGCTTCCTCCTGAATTATGCAGGGTTTATTCTGCTCTCCATCCCTGTCTTCCAGCTCAGGGGGCTGATTACCTTGAGGATAGCTTGTCTGCCTCGATTCTCCTTGCTCTCTTTTTGTTGTTAATGTATTTATAGAAATATTTTTTGTTGTCTCTCCAGACAGCTTTTGTGTCTCTAATTTTCCCTCTGCATGACCTAACAAGAACCCTATAGTCTTCTTGAGTTACCTGCCCTTTCTTCCAAGAGTGGTAAACCCTCCTTTTTTCCCTGAGTTATAGCAAAAGCCAGGCTGCTGCGTTGGCCGGGAATCGAACCCGGGTCAACTGCTTGGAAGGCAGCTATGCTCACCACTATACCACCAACGCTGAGTGCCACATGGCAAAAGACTACCTTCACTCCCCAGAGGAAAACAGAGTGATTCATACCTTGTGCAGCTCTACTGATTCCAACTTCAGAGGCTAATTATGAGTACTTTAAGATTTTCTGACACTGAAACTCAGGCTGTTCCAAATTGCTGCCTCCAGGTGAGGTGTGATGCAATAGCCAGTGCCAAAACCTAAACTTCTTCCTCACAAGCAGCTTTTTGTGTCACTCATGGAATCTTCTTAAATATTATTTTAAAGTATTTTGGGTGAACACACTGATCACACTCTGCGTCAAATTAACAGGTATGCTGTATAATTAAAACAAGGGAGATCTCAGAGTGATAGCTGGATTCAGGCTTTACACATGCTAATTATGCCTCCCTTCTGTGAAATATCCTCAAACTATATGCTGAATTCCCATAATTATTCCCAGTAAGAGCAGGATATTCATCATCAAATTATAACTTACCCTGCAGTTTGATTTGTGCAGAATTTTTGTAGCACTCAGTGTGCTGAGCGCTGCTCGTCTCCCTCAGTTCATATGGCTGAAAATGCCCAGAAAAAACAGACACTGTGAAGACCTATCTGCTGGAAATGTGGAAGGATGAATGGGTGGAAGAATCTTGTATTTTCTCTTCCTTCTGAGCTAGTGCCAGAGTGACAGCACTAAAGCCCTCTATTTATCCACACAATAGGCTTAGCAATAGCAAGAACAGTGACTTCGAACAGCTGCTCTCTACACAGAACAACCATAGCCATGCAAACTGGCGCAGGGAACTTAATAAGCACTTTGGAAACCCACTGTTTCTGTGGGTTTCCAAATATATTCCTACATATTTTGCATAATTTTAAGGCATGCTGTCTTTGTTTTCTATGCCAGTTGGTTGCACAAGGACACCGTCAGGAAAAGGGCTCTGGGTTAGTGTGCAGTGAGGGTCCCTCTTTAGTCAAGTCTCCAGATGATTTTGAGACAAAAGTGAATTTACTCTTTACTGAACAAGAAGCAGTGTCATTTGTATAGCTCAGTGGCTATTACATTTCACAGACTGAGCATTTTGCTTTTTGTCAATTAATTCAGCTTTTATGAATATGTCTTTTTCAACTTAATCTATAACATATATCAATTTACCAACAGGTCATGCTCTGCTAAAAATTTTATATACACCAATAAGCATAACAGACATCAAAATGCAGCCTAAGTTTTACACAAAGGATAAGAACTGAAGCCATGTTTTTGTTTAAGTAGAGAAAAGGGGCAATCTAAGAACATGTATCTGCCAACAACTCCTATAACAGAGGCACATATCTACAGGTTATCATTACCAAGTAATATAACCTGTAATGTCGAAAATTTAATAACAAACTATTGGACCTGACCTTTTTTGCTTGTCCGTCATCTTCTCCATAAGAAGGCATAAGATACATAGACTCTGCATGATCTCTTGCAATGGATAAAGGAGGGTCAGGGACCACATTAGAGAGCTGAGACCTGGAACGCTGCCGAAGTGAAGCTCTGTAAAAAGGACAGAAATGGTCTGTTCTTCACCAGCTCAGTAACAGTACTTGCTCGCAAAGCAGGTGCAGTTTTCCTATCAACTAAATCAGGATTCATTGAAGCAAATAACAGGAATCCCACAGACTTTTTCTTTCTTTTTCTGTGTTCTCTCAGCTTCTTGAGAAGAAAATATCCCACAACAGGGACAAATACTTTTCAAAATCATATTCCACCCCCACCATTCAGATGTTGACTTATATGTCTATAGGCTGAGAGGAGACATTATTGCTCACTACAACTGCCTAAAAGGAAGTTGTAGTAAGGCTGGTGTTGGTCTCTTCTCCCAAGTAGCTAATGACAAGACAAGAGGTAATGGCCTTAAGCTGTGCCAGGGGACATTTAGATTGGACATTAGGAAAAATTTCTTTACTGAAGGAGTGGTTAGACATTGGAACAGGCTGCCCAGGGAGGTGGTGGAGTCACCATCCCTGGAGGTGTTCAAAAGACGTATAGATGTGGTGCTTAGGGACATGGTTTAGTGGTGGGCTTGGTAGTGTTAGGATAATGGCTGGACCTGATGATCTTAAAGGTCTTTTCCAACCAAAATGATTCTGTGATTCTATGTACCCTGCACCGTGTATTTCTTAGGTAAAATTGTGGTGTATCCTACTATATTTGCGCAAGCTGTTAAGACACCAAATCAATTCACCGTTATCACTATCAAGTAATTCAGTCTAGCAAAACAGGATGCTGAAACAGTCGACCTCTATCCCTGACAAAACATAACCCTGTAATGTAGGAGGCATTTGCATACATCTGACATGGGCTTGCCTGAAAGAAATAGTAAGTGTCTAGCTACAAGACAGTCTGGCTTGTAAAAATGCTTTAGCTTTTATCAGGTAGAAGCCATAATAAAAATGTCCTTGTACATTGCATTGATTTCTCGAGTAATTGCACAGCAAGTCATTTTTCAAGTGGCTGGACTGGAAGTGCATTAGATAATACAAATACATGGCTGTATGGTAGTAATATTTAAAATGGAACATTACTACAGTAGACCAGAACTGGAGAGAAGGTACTATGGATAGAAAGGGGAGCAAAATTAAGAGTCTTGGTATGTATCCATGGGCCTTCAATCAGTAACATATTACCTAAGCTATTTCTTTCCAAGTGAACTCTGTCTTAGTAAAATGCTTGCAGCCCTTCCACCCTCTTTTACGCAACATACAGAGAAGTGATTCATTAGCACCATTGGGATTTTGGAATAGTGGGATGAACTATAGAGATCTGGAAACATACTGAGATTTGCAATAATTTTTGAGACTCACCGCAAACTGGCCTGATAGCTTCCTCTGCTGAATGACTGGGCTTTCTCAAGATCTGGCTCAACCACATTATTTTCTGCTGCTGTGAAATATAGTATATAGAACTCTTCAGTTTGTGCTAAAATTGAATACAACCTAAAGTCCACTGTGGCTCTGCAAAAAGTGCAGTGTCTCCAAACCACAACTGGAAGGTTAGGAATGTGATACATCCTTGCTATTCAACCTACACGTACCGTAGGTTTTATATTTGTATTTGACATGATAAAGTTAACTGAATATTAACCCAAGGACCATCTCACTTGGGATGTGACTGCTAAAGGCTGTTTCCTCATTTTAACACTGTAAGAAAACTGTATCCAAGGTATGATGCTTCACAAAAATACAGCAGATCTTTCTATTAGACCTCCATTGCCAGAAGTTTTGATTCAAATTTGTGTCTAGTAAAACAAATAAGGTGTTTTCAGCATACTCTGTAAGTTTCTTGAGTTTCAGATGAAGCAGGACTGGCCTGTCAGCACTAAATGGAGCTGTAAAATGATGGCTATTGGAGGTCAGGATTAACGTTTCAGGGCAGATCTATATTAGGAAGGTCATTCAGTGCATATGCAGTATAAACACTTTGGCCAGGGCTATCAATGTATTACTTCTATGAATGCTAAAATAAAGGCGGAAGAAAAAAGAAGAAGCAACCAGCCCTCATTAAAAAAAAAAAAAAAATCTGCATTCTGTGGAATTTTATGTCATTTTATACAAGAAAACAAAACACTTACTTTCTGTTGCTTCTTTATTAAGAGCTGTGTCTCCTTTGCTTTGCAAGGTCACCAACATGAAATAAACCCCTTTCCTCTTCAAGAGCTCCTCATGAGTTCCTCTCTCCACAGCCCTTCCATGCTCAAACCCAATGATGACATCGGCAGCTTTGACGGCTGACAGGCGGTGAGCTATTGAGATTGCTGTGCGGCCAAGGCGAGCCTGCCAGGGAACAACAACAGCCCCATTCCCAGGACTGCACACAGAAATGCTTGGAACCAGCGCTATGTAATCTAAATCAACAGGAGTCTTTCTAGTGGTTTCAGCTGACTTTGACTTTCCATCCATAGCCCATAGACGAGCACCTGCTTCTGAGCAAAGCGAGCTACAGGTTTCTGTTAATGTCCAATATAATAAAAATTTATTTTCTGTCAATAATACTAAGGTTCTACTTGTGCATATGAAACAGCTATTAAGGAAAGCTTCTCACTGCTTTGCTGCTTTGCTGCAGCAATTGAGCAGCACCCTCTGCAGAGTGCATTAAAAATAATTTCTGCCCTTTTAAGTCCAATTTATGCTATGCTATAGCAAACCTTATGAAGTGCTTCTTGGACAGTAGCTTCACTTTCATTATCAAGTGCTGATGTAGCCATATCCAGTAGCAGGATTTTTGGGTTTCGCACAAGAGCTCGAGCAATAGCTATCCTCTGTTTTTGGCCTCCACTCATCTGGCTTCCACCCTCTCCAACATGAGTGTCAAATTGCTATGTGAAGGAAAAAAATGAAAATTAAACAGGTAACAAAAAGGTCCGTTAAGCTTCTGGTGAAGACATTGGTAAAATGTCTCTCAGATTTGTTCTGGGAGTAGACTTAAAAAATTGTCATCTTTGAAAGACAAAAACATTATTAGTGCACCAGATGCATCAGGAGAACTGATGAAATAACTTCCTTCATAATAAACAACATCATTTTGCCTGAACTGGGGTTCCAACCCAAGCCAAAAGTATGTACTGCCAAAAAGGTGAAATGTTCTGGTTTTGCTCAAAGTGACTGCATCAGCAAAAGCTGAAATGGAGAGGAAACACCTGCCCACTCTCCATCAGATGACTCGCCAGCAAACTTTCCACAGAGCTGGACGTGTCTGCTGATGGCCTGTGACTCATGAACACTGTGTCGGTGATTCATGGACATCATAATCTGGTGGCATCGGGTTCAGGTAGAGAATTAAATAAAAACATAAAGCTTAGCATCTCAAGAGCAAAGATAATTACATCCACCTAGAGCCAAATCTTGTTTATTCCTCCATTTCCAGGAAAGAAACATGAGCCTTTACACAGTCTTTCTATGAATATTTTCCTGGAAGCCTGGAAATGCATAGATGAAGGATACAAAGTATATACTGACATTAGTTAATGGTACTTGAATCCTGTCAATCAGGTTCACTGTTGTAACATGTCCCTTTGAGAAGCTACTTGGCAAAATAACATTCTAGAACAGTAAACAGCCCAGTACTATCAAATATGGGCTTTGTAAGGAGGATACCACATGACTGGTCAAAGCTCTGTCGTCATAATGGAAGGAACCAGGGAGAAGGTAACCTCCAGCTAACTTACAGAGCTCGTACAAGGAGCTGAGCTTGTGAGGATCAGCACAGACTGCTCAAAAAACATATGTTGGTTAGTGAGAGTCTGGGCTCTAAATTGCTTTTGGCCTAAGCAGAAAGAGATCTCCATAGCATGAAAAATACGTATTTTAAAATCACGCTATGATTATTACCGTGATACTGAATGTTGTGCATTTAATTCCTGATGAACTAACTCTTCTCATTTTGTGTTGTGTTTTTTTTTAACTTGGTGACATACACATAGTAAGACCTGATTAACTCTAGCCAAAGGAAAGGCTGCTGCCTACTATCTATATTAATCTTCTGCCCTTCCACCTGAGCACAAACAGCTGCATGGGGGAAAGAGACAAAAGGATTCTCTATTTTTCCATCAAACTCTGCCAAGCATTTTACAAGGTACAGTATACCTGTGGCAACTCCATGATGAAATTGTAAGCATTGGCCTGTTTGGCTGCTTTGATTATCTCTTCCATGGTAGCTTCATCCCGACCATAGCGAATGTTCTCTGCAATCGTGGTGGCAAACAGCACTGGCTCTTGTTCAACAATACCAATCTGTGAGCGTAGCCACTGGATATTAAGGGAACGAATGTCATGGCCATCCAGGGTAATCTACAGAAGCCAATTAAAACATGGACAAAAACCTTTTTAAAAAAGTCTGGGACATTATCCCCTCTGGTTCAGAGACAAAGAAAATCACAATGGAAATGAAGGGCCTGTGATGCTGTGTTTCCATGACCAGTGTAAAAACCAGCTTTCCTACACAAAAGAATGCAATGCAGTGGCCGTAGTATTTGCTAGTTCTTGGGCCTAGGAATTGTGATATTCATTTCCCAATACCTCTTTTTCCTTGGCCACAGAAATAAAACCAGGTGGAAAGTAATCATAAAAATTATGATTATATGTCTACAATAAATTGGTTCTTTGTCTTTTATACATTCAAATACAGGTCACCATGTATGTGATTTGTGCCAACTAGGAACACATAAATGGAATGAGACTGTTAATAGATGTAATTTATATATTTAGCCAATCCATTACTAAATAGTAATTGCATATACTAAAGCAATATTATGGGATAATGATGAAATGTTCTATACTGTGTTTTCTGGAATGGAAGATGATCTGTCACTCCTGAATTATTCTATCTATAGGTATAGTTTTTACTTAGATCTAGTTCTGAATTTTTATTTTCTCCTAACAGTTTTTCTCTTTCACGTAATTATTTTTGATAACACTGTTCAGCTTTCCCCTGAAACACACAAGAGGATATTTTGGTCATTTAAAAAAATAAATAAATAAATAAAAATAAAATAAAGTTAGGGGTCTTCCTTCCCACCTTGGAGAAGACACCGTGTTGTTCTTTCAAGTCCCTAAGGCTAAAGAAGCACATTCTACGTTGGAAGACTCACCATGCCATCAGTGGGGTCATAGAAACGCTGGATGAGCTGTATTGTTGTACTTTTTCCAGCTCCACTAGCTCCAACAAAAGCTGTTGTCTCCCCTGCTTTAATAATCATATTAAGGTTATCCAAAATCTGGGGGAAAAAAAAAGAAAAAAAAAAAAAAAGAAACAGAATCTACCCATTCTACTTCTGTCACAGTCATGCAACCAATTGGGTATATTCTGTATCTTAAAGTGGAGATTCAAAGAAATTTTACAAAATTCAGAAAAAGATTATGAAGAAAGAGGAAAAAGAAAGCCAAATATTTTTACATTGTTTGAAGGGTTTATACATGCACAGCACTGTTTTCCATGACAGGCATGCAGATTTTGATCTTTGTTCCTGTTGTTCATCATTAAGAACTAGTCAAGTTAATACCATTGGGGAACTTGGCAATAAATCCTCTGTAAAGAACACTGCACATGCATTATGAAAGCCTGTTAAAGCATAAATATTAAGAATGTAAGAGTGAAATCATGTAGAAATATATGATACTTATATGCTTCTGTCTTTAGAAGCAATAGCACTCATTTCCTTATGCAATAATTTGCTTTTCCAAGGAGAATTTGTTAATTCAAACTCAGCAACAGAGAAATAATGGGGTATATAGCCAATGCTCCTGTACCTTTTCCTAGCATTTTAATGGGACACATGGCACATCCCCAGGCTAATGGAAGAGTTTTATAAAGTCTCCTTGCACAATTCAGCTTATTACTTTGTGTCCCATTCTAGCACTTAGAATCAGAGAATCATTCAGGTTGGAGAAGACCTTTGAGATCATGGAGTTCAACCATCAACCCTACTCCACCTACACCCCTAGACCGTATCTCCAAGCACTACATCTAAACAGCCTTTAAACACATTAAGGGATGGTGACTCAACCACCTCCCTGGGCAGCCTATTCCGATGCATGACAACCCTTTCAGTAAAATAATTTTTCCTAATGTCTAGCCTAAACCTACCCTGGTGCAGCTTGAGTCTGCTCCCACTTGTTCTATCATTAATTACCTGTGAGAAAAGACTAGCACCTACCTCTCTGCAATGTCCTCTCAGGTACTTGTAGAGAGCAATAAGGTCTCCCGTCAGCCTCCTTTTCATAAAGCTAAATAGCCCCAGTTCCCTCAGCCGCTCTTCATAAGACTTATTCTCTAGGCCTTCCGCCAGCTCTGCACTCTCTCCAGCACCTCATGTCTTTCTTGTACTGAGGTGCCCAAAACTGCACACAGTACTTGAGGTGCAGCCTCATCAATGCCGAACAGAGGGGCACAATCCCCTCCCTCCTCCTGCTGGCCACACTATTCCTAATACAAGCCAGGATGCCATTGGCTTCTTTGACCACCCGAGCACACTGCTGGCTCATGTTCAGCCGTGTGTCAACCAGCACCCCCAGGTCCTTTTCCACTGGGCACCTTTCCAGCCACTCACCCCCAAGCCTGTAGCGCTGCATGGGGTTGTTGTGAGCCGAGTGCAGGACCTGGCACTTTGCCTTGTTGAAGCTCATACAGTTGGCCTTGGCCCATCGGTCCAGCCTGTCCAAGTCCCTCCACAGAGCCTTCCTACCCTCACGCAGATCAACACTCCCATCTAACTTGGTATCATCTGCAAACTTACTAGGGGTGCATTCTATCCCTTCGTCAAGATCATTGGTAAATAGGTTAAACAGAGGTGGCCCTACTACTGACCCCTGTGGAACACCACTTGTGACCACTTGTTGATACAAGAGGATAATTAGTTGTAAGAGAAGCTGTATGCAGGTGAATTTGTCTGAAATTACTACAAATTTATGTTCAGCAGCAAGAAATACATATGGCAATGGATATATCAGAATGGTAAAATAAGCAGAATGGTAAGGAGAAGAACCCTTTAACAGAAGAATTATTTAGTCTACTTTTAAACAGAGGGTCTGGGCTTCTGGAAACAAAACTGCTGAAAATCTAGAAATTGCTGGCAGAACTGGGATATTTTGATTGTTTACAGTAATTGTGTTCACAGGATGGATGATGAATAATTACCTTTACATCTGGTCTGGAGGGATAATGGAATGTTACATTATGAAATTGAATTTCACCTCGTACTTTATCCAGCTTGTAGCCATCTTCTGACATGCAGTCAATGGTGGGTTTCTAGGATAGAATTTATTGTGTTATTTATTTGCTGTTAAACAGCCAACCCTGCTGCAGTAGATAAATATTCCCAATACCATACAAAACCATGGCACTTCTGTTTGAACAGCACTTGGCTGCACTGAGCCAGCAGCAAGCTCTGCCCCAGGGGTAGCAGGCAAGATACATGAAATTGAAAGCCAAAGTGATGGGGGAGATGTCACCGGTGGGTAGTACAGGCAAGATGAATGTGCCCTTTTCTCATTTCAGGCTTACTGCAATTAACACAATCAACCACTCAGCTAGTTTTTGTTGACTGAGTGAGGCATTTTGATTAAGTTAATTTAGTCAGCTCCTCAGGAATAAAATGGCACTACTTCCCTCATATAAACATTCTCCTACAACACTGAACAACCAATTCATTGCTGAAAATCTGCATGCTTCACACTTTGCATTTAAAACACCGTCCTTGCACACCTAGTCCTAAGAGCTGGAATCCTGATTTCAAGTTTTCCCATGAAGTGCCTTGGGTCTTATACTTTTGGCCAGGCCTTGGGTATTGTGGACTCTTAGACATGAGCAGAGAACTAAGAGAAATTTGAGGAATCCCAAAGAAATCAAATTTTCTAAGGATAGATTTTTGAAGCATGGAATACAGAGAATGAACCAAAACTATAGCAATAGCAATATTTGGTAATTGAAACATGTACGGTTTTTTATGTAGCCTAAGAGATTGAAGGGAGTTTTAATACAAGAAATGTGTATGTTCTAAGATGCTAAGAACAGCTAAAAGATTGGTTCCTTTTCAGGAATGTATCTTACTTAAATTCAGATACTAAGCTATGAAGAAAAGTTTCATTGATCCTGCAAATGGGAATCTCAGCATGGCTATAAGTTTAGTGCCAGAAAAAAATCTGTATCAGGGCAGAGCTGTGCTTTTACTGTCTAATCACAAATCTACAAATGTGGCAAGCAGATGGATCTAATTTTGTCATCCTTTCTTTAGACAGATTAATTCTCACTTTAGTTTGCCTTTTTTACCCTGAGGTTATCTAACTCAACCTTATCTTGAATTTTGTGATTAATTCTTACTGTTGTAACTCTTTGTGCTTTCTAAATTTTTCCCTAAAAAACCTCCCCTTATTCATCTCTTTTTCGGTTTATCTTAGAGCTTTAGTTTATGAAGTGCATTTATAAGGCATGTGTTATCGTTATTACAGAACATTGAAGTGTTAATAAAAGGCCATTAGCATTACCACAGCCCCTCTAGCTGCCTTTATGTACCCTTAATGTGCTCTTTTGACAAGCAGCATTTTAATGTGTTTACACAGTTTTTAGCACAATAAAGCTTGTCAATGACCAGAGATATACTATGTACTGCTAAGAAACTAGCAGTATTTTGCCAACGACTAAATCTATACAGACATAGAAAGGAATCTTCATTAATAAATTCAAGTGGCTCTCAGACTTTGTCATACAACCTTATTTCAAATATCTGTCTGCCAAGATACTATTGTGATTAACATTTATGCCTGCTGTGTGATGAGTGCCTGTGCTTGTTTGGTCCTATTTTAATTCAGGGTAGCTCTGGGACAGGTGACAGAGCCACCTTTGCCACTAATGCCAATAGAGCCACATCTTTTGATGTCATCTAGAGGCTGGGAGCTAGATGTTTGCTGCAGGTTTGGCTGCAAGGTGACTATTACTTCCTGCCTATACACTTACCGTGGGACAGCACTGATCAGTAATGGTACGTAAAGAGAAATGGGAGTAAGAAACAGCAGTAGCTGAGGTAAAAATTCATTATTCAGAAACGGGCCATTTAAGAAATCTGCTCAACACCCTCTCTGAGCCTATGTGCATTCCACTAGACCTTTCTATTGCACAGTCAATTTTCCTTCAATTGCACTCGTTTTTCCTCATTTACACAGCAGATAAAACTACTACTGCTTGAGGCTTATTTAATTATTTTTCCACTACAAAGTGGCACAGCTTAGAAACGCATTACTTACTTTATCTATTGTCTCAAAAACGTTTGCTGCAGCCCCACGGCCAGTGGCAAAGGCTTCCAGACAAGGAGATGCCTGGCCAAGATTTAAAGCTCCTACTAAAACACCAAAGAAAACCTGAAGAAGAGGAAAAAGAAATTAACAAAACATGACATCACATTTTTATTACAGTTTAGAGCTTAGACAGGCAAATCAAACTACAGTGGCTTAATGACTTCTTGTGCAGCAGCTGATGCAGTGATTCACTATATGAGCATAATTAGCCCACAAGAAAGCAAACAAATGCATCTTAGAAGGGATGCTTCCAGGGACGTCTTTCTGTGGGAGACATCCTCCTTGAACAGAAGACTCAATTTTAGTGTTCTCGGAGTAATTTACCAAGCTCCATTTAGCAGGAAGTTTTGCACTGCATGCTGTTGATGGTTGGGAGATCTCATGGTGTGCAACAGTCAGAGAAGGAGCAGAAATAGATGCCTCATAGGAACACCCAGGACTTAACCAAGATTCAGGAGAAATTTACCCTGGGTTTGGATTGGAGCCTGCCATTTGGGCAGTCCTGGCTTAAAGCGAATAATCGAAATATCTGCAGATGTTGGTTGTATTGCATTTAGGTCATCAGTGTCTAAAGCATCTACTCTGCAGAAGTGCATGTATGAGTGCTGTGCAGGTTACTGTGGTTTTTTGTATACGCCGCAGAAGCCACAGCCATGTGTGATTTTATCAGCATATATGTTTACATATTCTTTGTCATCTATAGAGCTGGGTGGGCAGTTAGCAACAGAAAATAGTGATTTAAAGGAACAAAAACTGTTCATGAGAGAGAGGTTAGATTTGATTAAACTTTCTTTGGTTAGGTTTTTCTTTGCCGCAGTGGGGTTTTTCATCACAAAGTAAGTTCTTCAGAGAAGCCAATATTCCAGAAGCCATATGCTGACCCACAAAATGGGAAAGCTAGTTTCAGGCCTCTGTCAATTGTGGAGCAGGCTCTCAAACGAAAGCATTATTCTGACCACAGTAGGCTGCAATTCAAATCTTGGATTTTTTTTAAATCTTAGCCAATTATGTCATATACTTTCATACATATACTGAGTAATGGTCTTTAAAAGACATATATAGTGTTTGTTACCGCTGAGCCACCAGATACCAGAACACTACAAACATGTGTTCCGGAATTGATGTTTTAAGAAAGTCCAGAAAAGTTACATCACGCAAAAATGGGTACCTGCAGAAGAGTGCCAGGTGAATACTCTTCTTCTTCAAGGACAAGTTTAGAGCCATACCAAAAGGCTAATGCATAACACAGGAAAATTATAAGCCACATGTAACCAGTGAATAAACCCATTATTATTCCTTTTCGAATTCCCCAGTGCTGAGCAAACACCAGATTCTTATCATATCTGTAGAAAAAGAGAAAAATAAAAGGAGATTAAAAATTCAAAATAGGCAAAGACTAACAAAAAGGCTGTGCTATAGTTAACAATGGGTCCACATCAGGTTGACAGCTCTCACTCTGAAGTGAGAGACCACTGCTGAAACCAGCAATGCTCCTAGATCATGAAATCCTGGTATGTTCTAGTGTAACAAGCACAAGAAAAGACAAGCTTAGTGCAGATACATCACCATGGGGTTTGGGGTTTTAGCAGAGTGACACAGGATTTGAGAATTTGGCCAACGCTTCAGAGCACATCCTATAGACACGTTACATTTTATACAAATTTAAGAGAAATTTGCAGCTTAATATCATCAAATCATTAAGTCTTGCTGGAACTAGTTCTCTTACTTCGCTTGAAAGTATGCAAAGTTTTCAGATGTTCTGCAAAGTGATATATCAGACAATGTTTAGGGGGAAATTTGACAGTATGTGCCTACAAGTGGGAATGACTTGAAGATAGTATTGCTGATGTTTTATTTCACTGATTGACTGAATTATGAAACTGGTTTTGCATATGTAATGTTATTTGAAACCTAAATTTCTATAATATACATGCATATCATTCTCAAAGCTAACAGTCATTGTAAAATTTAGAGACTAATTGGCATAACTCTGAAGTGCATTACAACATTAGGTTGCTACAGGAAAAAGAAATCAGAGACTTTACAATTTGTCTAAACAAACCTTTCAACTTCTTTCTTCTCCCCACCAAAAGCAGCTACTGTTCTGATGGATGAGAGCACTTCATCAGCCACAGCTCCAGCTTTTGCATAAGCCTTTAATTCTCGGCCTGTTAGTTTTGCCACAGCCTGCAAAAGCATAATAAGTGCTGGTTACGCCTGAACTGTAAGTGCAGACAAGGACAGCAGTAAGCAGTGCTGGCTGCCACACTGTGCTGTTTGCTCTGCATGAGGTCACCTCCTCCACTGTGGCAGGCTTTTATTAGGCACCCACGAAGACTTCTGCCTTAGTATTAGGGCAAATACCTCTTAGCATATGTTTTGCAGAACAGTTAACCCCTTAGCCAACAGCTCTGCTCCAGGTAGCTAGAAAGAGCAGCTGACAACACTCGCTTTTCCCTCCCTCCCTCTCTGCTGCTACCTGGGCCTTAAGCAGACTGCAGACTGAGGGTCTGTGCATGGTGGGAGGAAGGGGAAGCTTAAGCAGCAAGAGCAGCCCTTTAGCCACGGTGACAGAGCTAAGCTTCGGGAAGAAGAGGTAGTGGTACTGATGGGGGAGGATGGAAACAGATGTTGCCCACCACTGTGCTTTGTTTCTTGGGCTGAAAGCAAACAGGTCTCTACACAGCAGCCCAGAGCATACTGGATGTCAAAAGCATACTTAGTCTCAAAAGAATGCTCAAATTAACATAAGAAAATGTAGTCATGTACAATTCTACACAAAGATACCACATTGGCTTGGGAATGACATATCACTAGAAATTGTAAAGTGTCATTATTTGCTTTCTCTCTTCAAATACCCTACCCCAAGCATCTGTTAGCCACTTTCGGAGACCAGGCTGGACTGACCTTGGGTCTGTTTTCTTTATGGCAAAAAACAAAGAGTTGAGCTGGAAAGGCTCATAAGGAGGAAACACCAAACAACGGGTATGTGAAAGGAGAGTTGGGGACAGAGAAATAAGAATGGAAGGGGGAAAATTACAATCATAAAGGGGAATGAGCTCAGAAAGAACTGCAAATGAAGGGGTTTATTTCATTCCCTGCCAGGATTCTGCTCTCCCACTTCACACTGAGTTGTTATTCATGTCACCTACTTACAGCCAGCACAAGATGATAAAGGAGAGCAGGAAGGCAAGAAATTAGTCAGTTGCATTAGAGGTTTAATAGCAAAATGACAGCAAACTGTTCTTGATGTGGAAGAAGTGAGATAGCCGAAGGGCTGAACCCAACCAAAGAGCAGAGTGTGAGAGAGTGCAGAGGAGGAGCAGGATCTGCCCAGGCCTGCTGGGTGTGGGAAAGGTGAGAGGGCAAAGGATCCTGCAGTTTCCTTCTTCACTGTGCTTCCTCTGCACAGTGACAGGGAGTTAGTAGGGAGCAGACTGAGGAGCAGAACGGGAACAACTGGGAGAGGATGCAGCAGCTGCCAGGAGCAGGGACAGCTTGAGGTAAGTTTGAGCAATTCTTTTCAACTATTTTACAGCTCCAAAACTTTATCACCTCTAAAAGCCCCTAATCTACATAGACAAATCAAGCCCCGTGTCAAGTAACCATCTAAACCAGGTGTGTAGTGACAGAGAGAAGGTGTAGGCCAGGTTCTGATCTCAGCAACCATAATATCCATCTGCAGGACCCAACAGAAGGTATGCTGTCACTCCTGTCTTAGAAACAGGATATATTATTCTGAGAATCAGAATAAGCAAAGTGGGAGCAAAGGCTGCCTCCCCTCTCCCCCACTCCTGGTTCTGCTGTGGCCATAGTCTGCCTCTCTTGGCTTTAAAAGGGTGTAATAGCCTTCTATTCCACCAGTCCTCCCAGCTCTATGGCATGACCTTCCCGGCTCATCATACCTCAACAGGAACGTCTCACCGTTCACTTACCAAGCCATAGACAGCTGCTCCAACCCCAAGCAGAGGGCTGGCTGCAATGATAACCAAGGTCAGTTTCCAGCCACTGACAAATCCCAATAGGAATCCACACACAAAGGTGGTTAAGCGCTGGATGAAGATTGCTACTTGGTCAGCAATAGCTTCATTAATTTTGTTAACATCACTAGAAAAAATTAAAAAAAAAACCAACAAAGACCAACGGAAGATTGGTGAGCATATCTTTCATTTGTGTGGCAGGTCTTGGCCACATTTGGGTTAGTTTCTTTCCCTTGGAAAAGGCCCTTCCTCACCACTATTATTTCCACCATCACCCTTTCCAAACACCCTGGGCTACAGTAAGGAAACCTGATGCCTTTACAATGGCAGAAGGCTTTTATGCATGAATACTGCAGAGAAGATATTGTCTTTTCCCAGGAAAAGTTGTCCTGCCAGCAGACTCATCCACTAGCTCGTTCTTACTACTGTGCCCCAGCTGATTCAAAGGAAGGGCAGAGAAATCCCAGGTATCTGGTAATGGAAAAACAGCACAGCTGACATGACATTCCTCCCACTATGAGGCACTGACAATGTACCATACTGCCTTGCTAAGGGGGCAGGAAAAGGGAGAAGGGCTGCAACTCTCTTCTAGTTCCACCTTCCACCATCTCCCAGTTCCTCTCTCAACCCTATTAGGTAGTTTGCTCTCTAAATGAGAGGGAGAGTGGGAAAACTGAGGAGGGCTACTTTATCAATGGAGGCAGTGGGAAAATGTAACATCTCTGTCCCATGGGAGACAGCGGTGCAGCTGTTAACATCATTCAACTCCTAGGCAGCTGCAGAGTTCTTTTATTCTCACTTTATGCATTGCCAACACAGAAAAAACTCCTTAAAGCAAAACAGTGATTATACTTCTGTCTCTCTTGTCTATCCTACCTCACCCCTGAGATCAGAACAACTGGGAACTCCTGGAATAAATAAGAGCAAGTGGCATTGAGGTTTCAAGTGCAAAGTTGTTAGCTCATTGATATATTAAGTGAAATTACAGTCCTCTATTGAAAAACTTAAGAGTATTGAGTTGAAGAACACGTTTATATTTCTTCTGGAAAATCTTTTTTTGTAGCCAGGAAGCTTTTTGTAGGCACAGGACGATGTTGTTCAAAAACCCAGGGAACTAAGTGATATTTGTTAGACAAATACATGCTCAGTTCCCGTTTTTTGCCAAAGACTTCACAGTGACTTACTTACACTTGGCATTTATTCCTCATAAAAATAACACCACAGAAAGTCATTAGATACCACTGGGCAGTGAGTAAAGGCAAATAAAATCCCCTTCAACTACAGGAAAATCTTCTGCAAATGTGACTACTATTACGCAGGCACGACTGAGAACAGGGAGCCATCTAGAGCTGGTATATTCACCTCGCAGCTGCCTTCAGCCCGTAAACAGGAACCACTAAGAAAAGGAGCAAGCCCTTAAAACTCCACTTTTCTCAAAGCTAAAGGCTTACCCGGGATAAGAAGCTATCTCTTCTACCTTGGGTCCCTTTCTAAAGGTAGGTGCTTGTACCTTCTTTAGCAGGAGATTAAGCAAGGCTCACTGTTTTCTTTTAAAAGCCAACAAAAACAAAGTGTACCCCTAATGTAATTTTCCTTTCTGGGAAGTGAGAGAGGGTTCAAACCCACATCTCCAGCCTCAGGGAAGTGTGCACTGGCAGCCAAATTATAGATCACTCTGAAAGGACTGGGCACAGGAGAAGGGAAGGATAAGAAAAGCTGGCAAAAAACCCTGCACCCCAAAACCAACAACCCCCCCCCACACACACATTTACTGCCAGACAAGGCACGAAAGGGAAATAATTGGGGCTTAAGAGTTATGGCACTCAGTTTGAAGATGGGGGAGCTAATCAGCCTGGTCCCTGCTCCAGGAACACAGCTGTATCTTATAGCAGAAGGTGTTTGTTAAATGCCTAGTTATTGGCACTCTTGTTGTGTTTGGAAGGAAGTGCAAAATGTTCTCTGTAGTGTATGTTTTTTCTAGATTACTTACTCAGAAATTCGGGTGTTCAGTTCTCCTACAGATGTACAGTCAAACCAGCCTATATCCATTCGCATTACTTTCCTGAAATAAGCTTTCCTGATTTTCTGTATCTGACGAGCTGCAGCCATAACCCAAAAGCAGATCTGGGAAGAGCATAATGTGGCTGATAAATTGCAGTAAAAAGTCTTTCTACTCCCAACAAACAGGAAAGAGCAATTCAGCTATTGATAAAATTACTATTCAGGTAAAATACATTCTAGCTACAAAGACATGGTAGTTGTTTTATGCCTTTGATCTTTAAATAAGCCAATAATTTTATAAAGCCTCTGGATCAAGGATTTGTCTCAGTTCTCATAGGCTGAGAGAAGCTGGAAGTCAAATTAGTTGTGCTGTTACATGAATGTTATAAGGACAAGAATTTCCATCCACAGCTTAAGTAATACAGGGAGGACAGCCATCCTACCTCAGCAAAACTCTGGGATAGTTTTCAGGAAGAAGAATGACAAGTGATTTTTGTGATTATAAAAAGCTTCAAAAGCAGCAAACCCTTTAGCAGATTATGCAGGAATTGTCCAAGCTTGTGGCTCATCTAGGACATAGGGATTAAACCATTACTACAGAATATGTAGGGTGTGATTTTCTTCCAACACTAGGTTTACACTAGTATTACTCTGTAATATCTCTATAATAGAAACACAGAACTCAACACAGTTGTGGTGCATACTGGGAATCTGCATGCCCTTCACCTATTACTTTGGGAGGGCATGTGGATTCCATAGTAACCACACTTGAGCAAATATTTCTTGTGGTGTGAAAGAAGCAGCATGCATTCATCTCACTGGGTAAAATATCCTTGTACAAATGTATGCAAGAAATCCAAGGAGGTCTCAAACCTATTTCTAACCTATTTCAGCCGGTAGAATGAGAACTGAAAGCATCTGCTCTGCTCAAATGGGCAGCTGACTTAGCAGTTATACATAAGGAACATAATTATTGTATTATTATAAACTTAATTATTTAGTGATTTAAACTTCTAAATCAAAATAGGGAACAAAATACTGACTTGGAGGTATCCTAACACAAGTATGGCACAACCAATTCCTGCATAGTAACCTGCAAATGTGGTCATTTCTTGTTCAATGTCCAGCAGCCTGAAAAAAAAAAAAAAAAGGATTAGCAATGCTGATTTAAGTTTCTCACAGATTTCTGATCTGGTGTTTCTTCATGTTAGAGTCACGTCAGCTGGCAAGTTACCCTGTTTTGATAACAGAGGCACTGTTTCCCAACACTGAGGCTGTTGCTAACAGAGGCTTATTTGCTTGCTTTGCCTGTTGCACACAGGGGTAGAGCACTGGCAGTACCAGAAAATGCTCTGCTGTCCTGGAGCAGCCACACAGTTTCTGACAAACCCTACAAGACTTCATGCTCCAAAACAGCACAGATGAGAGGGTGTTTCAGGGAAGAGCTGCCCAACAAGTTTTCTTTAGATGTTGAATGCACTTGCTTTGTGCCATTATACCAACTAATTACACTCAGATTTAAACAGTGTTTTATGGGGTGAAATGAGGGCTGTTAAAGTCAATTCAAGTATTACTTTGTACCGTGATCTGAAATTATCATTTATTTTAGCCCAAATAAGAGTATTCAATTACTCCTAACATCTGTGAAGGGTATTGAGTTGCTGCTATTGCATTTAGGTTACTTCGAAATAGGCATTTCCGGTCATTATCGGTTATGCTTTTACACAACTTTTTTGAACCATCCCACAGACAGCAAATTTTATTCTGCTTACCCAGAATTTGGTACACTGAAATTTTAAGGCAAAAGGGAACACTATGCACCTGACCTGATCTCCTGCAAAAAACAATCGTGGAAACAACTTAGGTGCCTGACATAGATATCCATTATGATTTTTAATGCTTTGATTAAGATCATGGAGCAGATCCTACTGAAAACTCTGCTAAGCACATAGAAAATAAGGAGGTGACATGGCTTCACTAAGGGCAATTTGTGCCTGACAAATTTGGTGGCCTTCTACAATGGGGTTACAGTGTTGATGGATAAGGGAAGAACAACTGACATCATCTACCTGGATTTGTGCAAAGCATTTGATACTGTCCTGCATGACATCCTTGTCTCTAAATTAGAGACATGGATTTGATGGATGGACTACTCAGTGGATCAGGAATTGGCTGGATGGTCACACTCAAAGAGTCACAGTCAATGGCTCAATGCCCAAGTGGAGACCAGTGACGAGCAGCATTCCTCAGGGGTCAGTATTGGGGCTGGTGCTGCTTAACATCCTTGTCAGTGGGATTGAGTGCGCTTTCAGCAAGTTTGCCGATGAC